AACTGTCTGAGTTCAGACGTGCTGCATTCGTGGTTCCCAGAACTTTCACATCGCGTTCCACATAGCCGGCCCTGATGCATGATTGCACAAGAGGCCAGCATGAGAGCAGGACCGATGTGTCATCAGCCATCTGGGGTTATATAATCACTGTCGCTTCTCACATTTTTGTGCTCAGACAGCTGGTGCTATACTGATACTTTGTCAGGTGTGCTTTACTCCCCGCTCAGCACACCTCGTCTCCTTGCCATGCGCATCCATGATAGACGTAAATACTCGAGTCGTGGGTTTTTCAAAATTATCATATTCCATATCGTTGAACCGTGCTTGAACGCAGACGATTGTTGTCGACGACATAACTTTCCACGATGCCTAATTAGTTGACTAGTGGTCTCCATCGACACCCTACTTCCACCCTTCACGCACGATTCGGCACTCCTTTTCTGGGGCCCAGATGGATGGTGATGTTGGACAGGCGTTCTCGCTGATACACAGTATCAGCCATCTGGGGTTTTACAACTCGCTCGAGCCGCTTTTTCATTCGCTTTGCTCAGGTACTACACGACAGAGTCATTGTGATCTGATCAAAGTACGTATGTCAAAATATCGTGGTTCGCGCCTCACTGATACTTTTCCAGGTGTGCTTGATGCCTTCCGACTTGAAGCTTCGGTTCTCTTCTCTATTCCCCACTGAGCACTTCTCATATCCTTGCCACGCGCATTCATTGGGACAGAGGCATATACTCACCCCGTAAGTCCCGTTTCAAACTGTCATGCTTGATATCGTTCAGTCATGCTCGAACAGACGTCAATCAGCGATATTGTGCCCACTTCCATCCTTCACGCACTATTCTTTACTACTTCTGTGCCACCCAGATGGATGATATAGGGCGGGACGCGTCTGGCCGGTCCCGCTCTCATCCACGACCCTCGGTCATTTAGGAAGGGCTCGACTCACAAGTACCATCGAAGGCAGACATCGTGGAGAAAGGCCCCCGGCGACGAGTCCATTCAGGGACTACATGGGCCACTTTAATGGCTTCCCAGGCACACCTTGAACCAACCATGTAGGTTTTAAAACAAAACTCTATCGTATGGCGTCACTGAGAATCCCCTCAATCTAGATAAACCAAACAGAAGCCAGCCGCAAAAACGTGGGGTGATAGCAAAATTGGGGATCTGATTCCCAATACATTTCACAGATCCTGTCGACGAGTACGCCTCACTTCACATTTTTAAACAATGTTCATCTCGTAGCTTGCACCACAAGGTGCATATAATCTGATGATCAACCAACGCATTCCTCGATTGGTATCATTTTTGACAATCCTCGACCAAATTTCCCCTCCCTGTAGAACACTCGGAAAGTATTTCCCTATACAGTACTACTAGTTGGCTAATCTACACACTCTTTGAAGACAATAGCAGTCATGGTGGCCTCTGCGTCGGAGTCGACCACGAGTTTTGCGTTAAATTCTCGAACGCTAAGGATAAGACGTGGTCCCAGCACAAACATCTGCACGCTCAATAAAATTTGAAGAGCACCAACGAATATCTGAACTCCCGTAGAATATGTATTCTACAGAAATGATAAGCAGTGGTTTCAAGCAGATGTCAGCAATAGGTCGGCGCACCGCGAGCTCTGGCGATAGATTACCAAGCCGGAAGCAAGAGACACCAACAACACTAGCACGTGCGGAAGTTGAGCAGAAAAAGATAATCGCATTCACATTACAAGCCCACCTTGCAAAATAAAGCACGTGAGATTTTATCAGCACTTTGAAACAGTCCCCGATGGTCGATGAGCTGAATCGTGGCAGGTCGCGGAAGTGTTTCACAGCAATCCAGACTGAAAGACACAGTGCGAGGACCTCCCAAACAAGGTTGAGCATCCAGACCATTGAGGCCAGAAGCCGGACATCCCCCTCGTATTCAAAAGTGCACGTATACGTGCCAGAGAGTATCGATTCCTCTGGTGTTTGTCCAATGAGCTGTATTCTTCAAGTTCATGAGTAAAGCTTACCCGCTACAGTATGCTCGAGTCCTATTATCGTGATTACTCCGCAAGTGATATTAACAGCCAGGAAGGTAATAACAAGGAAGATAAGTATCATTCTAGATCTTTGATACATGACATGTAACCGAGCGATCATGATGACTTGCACCATGTTGCAGTCGAGTCAATATCATCGAGGTATTGCAGCTGGGTAACTCACCGCCCAACAAGGCAGTTACGACCACATTTGTCTCATTCCTTGCGTAGTGAATAATATTGCCTGAAACACTCAATCAGTGATCACCCTCATACTAGGATCAAACACTCCGACTCACACCTATTGAGTCATTATGTGGAGCCATATTCAATGTTCAGAATCTCGCTCACCCCTACTGTATTCATTAGAAGGTGGTGGGATGGATGCCCAATACTACTCACTGCATCTGTCATCGAGATCGATGGCAGAGATGCTGTGTGCCGTCAGTCAGAAGAATCGAACGCAGTGCATAAGTGACATACGCAGAACATTGGAACTAATTGATACAAATGAGCTATTAACACAGTACCAATTTGTTGGCCTCGAACACATACACAGAATATGGTATTCCAATATAGCGTATCTAGAACATTTTGGAGTCAGCACAACCGCCAACCACGCTATAGTATAATATGAGGTACGAACAACCAAATATAGCGCAGTCATGAAAGACCAACGTTGCCTCTATCGCGAATTCATTGCATTCTCCCGTTTTTCTTTTGATACGGGACTTTTGTCACTCACCCAGATCAGTTCAATCTATAATACCATTCTTAGCGAGTTGGCTGCTCCGGCTATGGCATTGACCTACCTCTTGTTCAAGTGTCAGTACTGGAAATACCATAAGAATATCAACGGTTTTCGAACACTGTCCTGCTCACCCCAATCATATACCACCACGACGCCGGCGGCAACTGCGGAACCGCAAGTCAATTTTAGCTCAAGGAATCACCAACTGATACGACGAACCCGTCCAAGTAGCTGTAGATAATATTCCAATTGATTATCGGCCACAAACTAGAATCATTCACAACTACGGTCATATGCGAGGGATGGGAGCGAGCGAGCAAGTGGGGAATGTTGGGGGCGTACACCGATCTAGCGTTTGTGCCAAATATACCACCGTTGAGCGCTCCTATTTCCAAATCAGTATGATGGAGATGGATATTTGATCCTGCCTTAGACTAGACCCGGTGTATTGAGTGGAGCCAGTAACTGCGGCGTGAAATTAAGCAAAAGTGGAAGCCCTTGATTGAATCAAAGTAGATTTTGATTTACGAATTAGTACTTATCATGCACACGGAATGTTTGAACAGTACTAGTGTTTCGTGATCCGAGTCGGCGGCTTGTTTACAACTTGGCAATTGAGGAGTTCCGTATGAAATCATGTGGTTATCGACAACACAGATCTGAGCATCATCAACAAGCGTTTGCACTCTTTGCCTTGCCAGCCTCACCTCAGGCCTCAGGCATAAAGGCTCCACCGACGACAAGGACCCATTACGATTCTGTGACATTGTACCAGAGAAGTCAGACAAGAAGCACAGAGTGGGCCGAGGCGGAGCAAGTATGACTAACCTTACTATCCGTTGCCCTGTACGCCTCAATGAGTCGTTGGGCTATGGTGGCGTATCGCGCTGCATCAGTAAATTCACACATTGCTTAGCTTAGCTTTTTTGAGAAATTAAAACTTATTTACAACTTATTTGCGTTTATTTACTTGAGCGCGTTCAACGAAAAGTAGCGCGCGACAAACAAGTGTGATAATTAGTCGAAATGAAGCGCGCACCAAACAAGCGCAATAAGGCAGAGATAAGCCATCAAAAGGACACCTTCATCAATTCAAGCAACATAAGTGAAGTAAGTGCTACATATACTCATTGTGGCTACTGTATTAATGAGACGGCATTAAGTACAGTCCATCATGGCAGCTTCAAACATGTTTGATTGTGGGAGAGGGAGGAAGCAGCGGCAATGGAGTGATGTCGAGATTAGGGCAGATATGGCGATCCAGGCTGAGGTAGTTGCAGAGGAGGCAGAGGCGATCGCGGAGGGGCAAGGCGGCTCGTTGAGCCTTTGGAAAAGGGCAAAGGGGTGGTGTGGGGACAGAGAACGAGACGGAAAGTGACCGTTTCGTCGTCGATAGAATCGAGCCTGTAACGCGACCGTTTCGTCGTCGTCGATAGTATCGAGCTTGTAACGCGAATCCTTCGCATTGTTGCCTGGCGTACATCTTCCATACTTGAGTTGCAAGAGGGTCTTGTTTCGCAAGTTTTTCTGGGTCGATTTCGTCAAAGGGAGATTCTAGGTCGGAGGAACCAGAAAGTCTAGGAGAGGTAAAGGCGCTGGGAGCATGATCTTGATGCGGGGAGGGTGAGGAAGGTTTGTTTGAAGAAAGAGGAGAAGGTTCTGGATGGGAAGGTATTGTGAGCACCGAACTTTTTAGCTGTAGCGACCAACAAACTGGCAGAGGGTGAAAGCCCATCCATGAAGACCTGAGCCGAAAGCAACGGTACCCTTGTCTGGGTAGAGCTGGAGGACAGGAGCAATCGTCCAGAACGAGTTCCAGAACAGTAGGTAAGTATACTCAAATACGCTGTTGGGAAAGTCAGCAGCTACGCAGGGTTGAGGCGAGTGCATAGCTCACTAAGCCGAACTCCATCCACAATAGATCTGGAACCACCACAAAACACCGATACACACAATGTTTTTGTAGAAAAAGTTGACAATCCTACAATTGAAAAGTGTCAGCATCAGCATCAAGCAAAGATATGAAAGAACTAACATAATTCCGTTGCTGAGCATAAGACCAGTGACCATGGACAAGAAGCAATTTCTTCAGGAACCGGAACTACTCTATCATAAGCAAAACATCAAAGATGGCGTAAAATCACGCACCTGTGCAATAGCATAGTCCGACGAGTTGACAGCTTGCAGACCCTCCTCACCACTAATGCCGACACCAACGTCCGCAGCCTGGATCATGCTGACATCGTTCGCGCCATCACCAATAGCGAGGGTCATCACGCCGAGACCATCCTTGACCATCTTCACCACAAGCGCTTTCTGTAGCGGAGAAACACGGCAACAGATGACGCCCTCGCATTGGGTAGCAAGACGGAGAAGAAGAGCGTTGTGGTCGTCATCATGAAGGGCGTGATCCAGCGCAGCACCATCAATGACAAGTACAAATCCCCCAGTACGATCGCCATTGTTGTCTCCGACAATATCATGGACCCCCGTGCTTAGCCGCCGCATGGGGAAGGCGCTGGCTGATTCTGTGGATGGTGATTTAGGTGCGCAAGTGACGATGCCATGTTCATCGAGTATGCCACTGTCTGGGAAGAATTCCTCTACGGCCTGAATCATCTGTTGTTGAACCGGGTGGTCGCTACCGCGGATGATGATGATATTGGACTCTTCGGCGATGAGATTTGTACTGCGCCCGATAGCTGCATCAAAGGTCTGTGAGACCGACTCCTGAAAAGGGGGATAAATACACACCGATGGCAGTCTCGAGCTTGTCGCCAGTAGCAACCCAAATCTTGATACCCGCGACTTTGAGATCAGCAATTGTCTCTGGCACACCATCCTGGAGGCGATCTTCAATGGCAGTGGCACCAAGCAGTCGCAGCTCGCGCTCCATCTCATCACAAACCGCCTCAACCTTGCCTTCACAATCATCCAGGGCAGTAGAGGCTTCATGATAGCGTTCAGACCAGGCCTCATACTCATCATCTGTAGAAACCCTTTAGCCAAGTGGGTGGGAGCACGAGCTAAATCCGACTCACCCTGAATAACCTTGTAAGCCAAAGTCAACGTCCTCAGCCCAGCATTCGCAAAGTCCTCCAGATGCGCCTCAGTCGTTCTTTTCAAATCATCTCCACCAGCCTTGAGCCGCTCAAAGATGACGTTATCTGCTCCTTTCGTAAGCAAAAACAGTCTGCCGTCTTGATCATCCAATTTCTTGACGATGACGCTCATTCACTTCCGTGCGCTTGTGAACTCCAGGATATTAAGCAGCTCATACCACTCGGTCTCCTTCGAGAAAGGTGTTTGCAAAAGCAGTTTCTCCTTCTCACGTCCGCGAAAGATGAACCCAGCATCCGCAGTGGCTTGAACGAGGGCAGCTTCATCAGGTGATTGTGCTTTGTACTCAATGGCACCTGTCGCAGGGTCGACAGCAGTGAGAACGGTATGACAAAGTGCCAGGACGGAGAAAAAGCCGTTAAGCGAGCGTGCTAAAGCACGGTCGACCTTGTTAATGATGACAACGGGTTTGATACGCTCCGTAAGTGCTTGACGAAGCACCGTCTCTGTCTGCACGCAGACACCTTTGATACAGTCGACGACGACGAGAGCACCGTCAGTGACACGGAGAGCAGCTGTGACTTCTGATGAGAAGTCGACATGACCTGGTGGGGTAGTTGAAGCGGGGGACATCCATAGGGATGGTGGTAGACCAATATTGGAGCGCTCGACAGGATGATCATAGATGGAAAAGTCAGTTGCTGGGGGGTCGGGCTAATACATGATTAAATATGAGTTGTGAATGATGAAGGACGGGTTGCTTACACGTGTACGACGAGGGTGAGTGTCTTGCGGTCTATGTGAGGATGAAAACGAAAGGAGACACATATGGAGGGAGGTTGAAAGGCGTCAACGATTGCACTGTGCAGCGGGCTCAGGAACACCGTCATGACCATGGTCAATGCTTGGTTTCCGACTCGACGAATGGCTGGACTTCGTGGATGCCTCGACAGCGAGTTCAGGGTTCTGTGCGCGAGCGAATCGAGATAGGCATCCGTCTGCTGCAGCAAGTGGGTGATGCACGTATCCTTTGCTGTATCGATAAGCTTCATATATGCCTCATCATCATCCGCTTTGAGCACCTTCAAACGCTCCTTCGAAGTTGAGGAGGGCCCGAAGTTCACGAATGTTGTTCTGAAGGGGGGTATAGTGAGGATGAGGCGGTACCTAGGACCTAATTAGCAGCGGACCAATAATTAAATTGAGGACCCACCTATGTCATCCAGTCAGGACGCTATCTCGAAGGCGTGGTGATCAGCATATTTGTTGACATAAAATGAGTCAAAAGTATCAAGAGAATGGTAAAACTTGAGGGTGTGAGGAATATACTCGGAACCGTAGATAGGTATCAGGTGTGCTGCACGGAAGACCGTCTCGATATGAATAACCGCAATATTCTTCGAGCCGTCCTCATGGAAGCTTGGAGCGACCATCCACATACCAGTGTTTTCATCAGGATCATCGCCGATCTTCTCAAACCAGTGTATGAGAGCGCATGGATACACTTCCCAGTTGTGGTTAAATGAAAAGAAACAAATGACTCTCGCAACTTCGAGTCCTCGCATCCCTTCAGCATCTGAACCAGTATTGATGAATATACAATCATTGCGTGGGTACTCGTTCCGCCAGAGTGGACATGCGCGAATGTGTTCGCGTCACATGCCACCAATGCCACTTGGATCACTGGGGGCGTGAAACGTCGCAGCAGCAGAATTGAAGACACGAAGCTTCCCTTCATGGCGAGGTAATCGAGCAGCTGGGATGTCTTCAGGGTTGCGGGCATCATCCGGATTGAGCTGGGAGAACAGAAAGTGACGAATGAGGCGTCGTAGATCTGGAACGGCAACTTCATGTGCCAATGCTGCTACTGTCTGAGCCCATTTTCGTTCTGTGTGATACAGTGGTGAGGATCAAGTTTAAACATTGCAGGAGGTTACTTACGGGGAGTTCTCACAAGTGCTACAGAAGCGAGTACCGTTGGACCATCAACTATTTCGCCGTCGTCAATGTCGATTCCAGGTTGTGGTTCAACCACATTGGCATCTGGTTGCAGTGCAATATCAGGGACGACTCGTTCATTTTCATCTGCCAATGTATATTGTTGTTGCAGGATAGCATGAGTTGTTCCTCATAATCCGCTATGTAGGGTCCTAGACTGTATATAACGCGCCGGAAATGGCCATCTCCACAGCGCACGACCTCATACGTGGTCATAACAGGTTTGAGGCTGGAGAGAATCGCAGACAGAGAGCTGTGAAATAGCTGGCGGTGGAAGATACGAAATACGTCGTCTTTAGCATGCTTCTTGTCAGCTGTAACATAGCTCAGATGAATAATAAAATTTAAAATATGAACATACATACTTTTAGGAATGGCGAGGAAACCGATGATTACGAGGGCATCACGGTGTGCACGCCGTACATTGTTGCGTACGTTACCAATCGAGGCATAGAGGGGGTAGTATTCATTATTGCCGGTGCCCACAGAGACAGTGGTCTTGTCGCTACCGAGAATAATTGGGACTAAGGAAGATCCATGTGTTTCTGGATCTTTCGATATGGTGTCCTTGACGAAATATGAGCGATATCCAAAGCAATACCATAAAGATATGAAAGACGTACTGCCTGTTGCCATGCCCAGTCTCCGGACATGAAATCCTTCCATCGGCATGTGGAGTCCGATGCGTCGTATTCATGAAACGGCACGTAGTCGATCTCATCCTTGTAATCAGGGTTGGCGAGTATGTTGTGTGCCATCGCACGGGGGTCCCTGTACCAGACCTCGAATTCATCATCCATCCATGGCGGGACAACCTCAGGTCGTTCTCCTGAGTATTGGGCCGAGAAACACTGCCAAGGGACATCACCGAGTTGTGTCGCATCTATAACATTGTGTAGATCTTTGTGATCTGCGAATGGAGGGGTGTCATGGTGTCTCGCAAGAGTTGCGGCCATTAAGTCACACAAGAAATCCAAATTTCTTGCAGACATGTGACACTTTTTGAATGCGAACTCTGCTAGCTCGAATTCTATTCTGTTGCGATAGGGACTCCAATCATCAGGAGCCTTCAATGGTGCGGGAGTTGGGGGAGTGCCATGCGGCAGAAATGTTCCATCAGCTGCGCATGGTCGTCCTAAACACATACGAGTCAAAAACAGAGTACTGAAACTTGAAGGAAACGTACCGTTTAACACTGAATGATACGTACGAAAGTAACGCTCGCTCGCATCAGTGAATTCGGCATCAGTGCTATTTAAATCCTCGTGGACTGGACCAGTGAGTATGGGAGATGACGGCTAGGGTGGTTGTGAAAAATCTGGAGGGGGCAGTGAGAAATCTCGAGGGGGCAGTGAGAAATCTCGAGGGAGAGAGGGTGACCGGGATGGCGGGGGAAGTGGTGACTGGGGTGGTGATGGGATGTCCCGAAGGGACGGTCCTGAAGTAGGGTGAATTGAGCGCCTGTGGTGGGTAAGACCTGACTGGCTTCGAAACCAACTGCAAGCATCCTGGAACAGGGCATGGAAGCTGATGCAGGTGGTGAACACGACGGGGAGGCATATGTGCTATGCTGGGATGTTGCTGTTGACAATCGACTCTCGAGTATTTTGAGGACCAAAACACTCAAGGTTTGGGGCGCGGTTGTAATCACCACATTAGCACAGCCAAGGCAAACTTTAATGCTAAAGTGAAGGCTAGATGTGGGATGCGAGCAAACGGTACCGAAAAGGCTTTGGTAAGCGTTGATGTTGAAGCTGGAAAAGCGGTGGTTAACCGCCGTTTCCTTGCACCTGCGAGCAAAAATTAATATACTAGAGGTGCGGGAAGGATCAGCTATCTCCTCACCAGACAGGTTTTAGTAAACGTCGACGCTAAAGCCACAACGGAAAATTGGTGGTAACCTCGGTCTCCTTGCACCCGGGTACCGAAAAGGCTTTGGTAAACGTTGGTCTCCCTGTACTAGTAAACAAAATAAATATATTAACGGTGCGGGAAGTGTCAGCTATCTCCTCACCAGACAGGTTTTGGTCTCCTTGCACCCACAAATGAAAACTAACATGATGACGGTGTGGGAAGTGTTAGTAGACTATCTCGCCGGAAAGGTCTTGGTAAACGTTGATATCTTGCAGCCTGAGGCAAAGAGTTGCATTGATAATATTCTGGAAAGAATATTAGTAAAAATTGAGGTTCCACGGCAACTGCAACAGATCGCACCAATATATTAGTAGGTACGTCAGGGCACAAGTAGGTCATTTGGTCAGAATCAGCCTAGGCTTCAATTTTTGAAAAATTGTGACGGAACTCACCTTGTTGCCAACTACCACTGTCGTCTCTTTCTTCAGCCTTCCGAACCCCCCCATCGATACCATGTCTGAGCCTGCTAGCGCAGTTCCGAAACGCATGATGACTCGTCCTAAAAATGCAACTCAGCATCCAGGACGTATCCTCACTGAGGCCGAAGGCTATACCAAAAGACGTACCAAAGCTCAAAAGTTCGCTGACGACAAGCGTGAAAAAGAGGAAAAGCAGGCAAGTGAAATGGCTGTACAAGAAGGATATAAGCGCGTTGCTGCATTTGAGAAAAAAATGCAGACAGACCAAGCTGCTAAACGTGCTGATGCACCAAAGCCTACTCGTCCCCGCCCACGCCCTGTAAAAAAGGTTGCGAAACCCATGGAGACCTCTAACTCGACTATGGCCGAGGATCAGGCCATTGGCGCTAAAGGCAAGGGTGGTAGGGCTAGAGATAAATCAGCAGCCGGTGCTAATGTCGAACATCCTGAGAGTGATGCAGAGGACGAGGAGCAGGAGGCGCGAGTGCCTGGAGCACGCAAAAAGAAGGGGAAGAGGACGGTGTTACCAGTGAAGACGCCAGTGAGAGACGCAATCGAAGCAGCTGGCCTTATCGATGACTCGGAATCAACAATGCCACGTGACAACGATAAGAAGTCTGGTGATGTGTAAGGAGCTTACTTCTCAACCATAATGCACTATCTGACCGAGACGGCTCTTTTCTTTTTCAATTTAATGCTTCATGGTGATGATAGCTCTACAGCAGGTCCTGCAAAATTCGGTGTTGCTGCTGGGCGTATTTCGCATTGGAGGTTGGAGATCCCTGAAGAGCTTACCTCTGCCGCCGCTGCCTCGAAGCACAGACGACCATCTACGATGCCTTCTGACTTCTCTAGTATGGTTCCCTCCTCTAAACTCACTAGGGGGAGTACTGTTAGTAGCGGTGGTGCCCCACTCACACCCATCAATACTATCACCGGTGCTGGGGCTGATAGCATGGCAGATCATTTTGTGACTCTGTTTGCAGACGATGATTTGGATGAATCAGTCGAGCGCTCTCAGGCCCTTGCCCGTATGTCCAAACCAAAGGGGGCCGCTCAGGTGAGTTCATTTATTTAATTCTTTTCTTGACGTGTCAACATTAACTATGTTACCAGGGCGTCAAGATTTCTTCTATGGTCCCTGATACTTCCATTCAAGCAAACTCAGCCCGTCGCAATACCAACCTGGCCCCCAAACAGCTCAACACACTTGAGCCTGACACTGTCACTGACGATAATGGCGATATGGATGTTGAGGTGGCTCGCCCAGCAGTAGCGTCGCTCGTCAACTACGCATCCGACACTGACATGGAATCTGATCTTGAACCTCCTCCTTCTACGCAGGTGCCCAAAGGATACTATGATGACGACATCCGCCGAGCTGTGGCTCTCAATCGAAAACCAGCATCCTACCCTACGACTCCGTCAACTGAGTGTCAAGCGCAAACTTGCAGACATAGAGGACGACCTGACTGACGATGACGCAATCGAGGACGATGCAATTGAGGACGACTACAATCGAGGATGCCCTACTTGAAGATGCTCCCTTCGAGGACGACATCATGGTCGGTGATGACTTCGGTGATGATCATGCCTCCATGATCGAGGAAGATTTGCTCTCGTCCGAAGTTGAGTTCATTAGTCACATCAAGCCCATTGTCAAGGTCGAATCCAAACCAGTATCTTTGCGGGTCACGTCCACGGTAGTATGCTTTCGTGATTAACATTTAAATTATACTGACTACACATAATGCAGACTAATGTTGGTGTCAAACACAAAGCTCCCGTGACCAAGCGGACAAAGTCTTCCATTGCGCATACTCATAGTCTTTCCAGCATCTCAAGTGCTGGTTCTGGTGCCGCATTGGGTCCTGTAGAAGTGGAGATCCTTCCTCGTTCTGCTTACAGGATCAAAAACCTTCCTGGAGGTCCTCGGGCAGTCACTAGGTGGAGCGCAGTCTTCATTCCAACTCTCATTTCCGCCGTTGGGGACCAAGATGAAGTTTGGGGCCGACTCGAGTCGGAGACGACGCTTTGCAGCTACCATCCAGGACACCTGGAATGCAGTTTACGGTGATATACCTCACACGGTCACACCCGATGGGCCGGTTATGGCTCTAGTAAGTGATTGTTGACGCAATTCGTATCTGATTGTGTTTTGTTTTAAATAGGCTACCCAGCGGCTATCAGAGTGGCGCAACGGCGTTGGCACTACTGCCATCACAGTACTGACGCACTTCATGTCGACGCAGGACGATATCGAGAGTGATGAGGATCGCAAAGATTTTGCGAAAAACTTACGTCTCAAGCTAGGATTTTTGTACGGCAGCATCACGGAGGACGGCAAATACAAACAACCCTTCCAGTCTGAACTCCTCGTTCAGGTTCTGGTACAGCATAGGTGCGCTACTTTGGGCGCTATTGACAGCCACAGGAAGACCTCATACGCGAAGGGAGCTCTGAGTCTTGCCACTGCGGCGGCATGTATATTTGCTCTCTCGTCAAACCACGATTAACTTATTTCTCGTGTTTCAGATGGAACGCGCCCTCAATATTATCGGTGGGGACACGCGCGTCAGTGAACTGAAATTCAACAGTAAAGGGAAGGCCGTCAAGGTCCCCCACAGCTTGAACAAAGTCACGGGCAAGGCCAGTAACGCTCTCAAGGCGTTTTCGGACACCAACTACGGCGAGGCGACCAGAGGCTATATGAAATCCATCAACCAGCTCCGAGAGTCAGTCCTCCAAGACGTCTGGGAGCGCACAAAAGAAATCGCTGTGAAGAGGCGTCACGGTGGTGCGTCCACCATTCTGGATGAGGATTCCGACGATGAGCGCGCAATCATCGTCGACGACGACTGGTAGTACCTTTCTATTATTCACTACTATTATTCAACTGACAATTTGTATTTTGTAGAGTCACTCGTTTTCTGTCGATAGTACCCAGCATCCCGTGGCCTACTACTACTACACCCACATATGGCCATTGTTATCCTTCACCACCAAAGCCTGCTTTCCCTCTGCCCAATTCTTCCTACATCACACCACCCACATCGCCAGACACGCTGTCACCAAGTTATTCAACATCGACGTCTCCAGCATCAACGGCATCTCCTCCAACGCCCCCAGGTGTAGAGGTGCCGCATAGTAAATTGAATCTCTCGCGCTTGTTCCTGCTTGACGTCTATATTTCGCTACTTACTAGTACTTGCATGCTCTTTCCCTCGCTTAATTTACAAAATGCCAGTGTTTTTGTGGTTATTTTTATATTAAAAGTGTGAAATAAGTGAAATAAGCATACAATAAGTGAAATAAGAATCACCAATTTGCGCTACGCAACGGAAAAATAAGTGCTACTGTTAAAAATAATTGCCCAAAAAGCCAGAAAAGACTGGAAAAAGTCACAGTCAAGAGGAAGGACCTGCTTTTTCGACTTAAAATTGCCTTGTGGCAAGTTTACAGCAAGTGGGTGTCACCATTCTTGCGAGGGACTTATCCGCTCCTTTTTGGGAAATTTGCCGGCGGCAAGTCACAAAAAAGGAAGTTAAGCAATGTGTGAATTTACTGATGGCCTGCCAGATGCATCCTGGTTCACGAATGCATAATCCGCAGTTTGCGGAATTCAAGTACTACTAGAATAGTAGGATGACACTAGCCAAAATTTTCGCATAGGTCTGACCAACAAGGACATCGATGAAAGTTGCGCAGCGGAACGTGTAGAATCAACCGCCATACGGTGACCGATTCTTGTTGTATCTCAGTTTAGCATCAAGGACTGGGTTAGTTGCCAGACATTCCTCCGGTATAATTTCAGCTTGCCACTTAGTGCAAGTGTGGGCGGGCGGTTCACGATACAACAAGAAATGGGTTTGTCTACATAATCGTTGTCTTAGGTATACTTCGAAGCACCATGAATTAAATAAATACTACGAAGGATCCTCAACCAGATTTCTCCTCCCTGCAGAACACTCGGCAAATATTTCCCTACACAGTACTGCTAGTTGATACATGTACACGCTCCTGGAAAACAATCGAAGCCATGCTAGTTTCTGCGTCGGAGTCGGTCACGAGTTTTGCGTAAATTTTTCGAACGCTGAGGATGAGGCGTGGTCCCAAGACAAACATCTGCACGCGCAAGAAAATTTGACAAACACCATCGAGTATCAGACTTCCTGTAGAATTTGAATTCTACAAAAATGGTGAGCAGTGACTACATGCAGATGTCAGCGACAGATCGACGCACGAAGAGCTCTGGAGAGACAACACAAAGCTGGAGGCAAGAGACACAAACAAAGCTAGCACGTGCGGAACTTGAGCAAAAAAAGATAGCTACATTCACGTTACAAGCTCACCTTGCAAAATAGAGCACGTGAGATTTGATCAGCACCCTGAAACAGTTCCCGATGGTCGATCCTGTCGATGGTCGGAGCCGTTGCAGGTAACGAAACTGTTTCACAGTAATCCAGACTGAAAGACACAGTACGAGGGCCTCCCAAACAGTGTTGAGCATCCAAATCATTGCCATCAGAAGCTGGAAATTTCCCTCATATTCAAAAGTGCACATATACGTGCCAGAGAGTATCAGCTCCTCTGGTATTTGTCTAATAAGCTATGTTCTTCAGGTCAACAAGTAAAACTTACCCGCCATAATACCCTTGAGTGCTATTGCCGCGATAATTGCGCATGCGATGTTGACAGCCAAGAAGACAATAACAAGGAAGATGAGCATCATCCTAGATCTCTGATACATGGCATATAACCGAGCAATCATAATGACTTGCATCATGTTTCGGTCGAGTCAATATCATCAACGTATTGCAGCTGGGTAACTCACCGCCCAACATAGCAGCCACGATCACATTTGTCACATTTGTTACATAGTTTATGATATTGCCTGAAACACCCAATTAGCGATCAGCCTCGTACTAGGATCAAACGCTCCGACTCACATCTATTGAGTCATTATGTCGAGCCATATTCAATGTTCAGAATCTCACTCACTCCTACATATGAGTGTATTAATTGGATGGCAATGAAAGGGCTACGGAATACTCACTGCATCTGTCTCCGAAATCAATGGCATATATGCTGGTGCCGCTGGTCAGAAGAATCAAACACAGCGCACTTGAGACATACACAAAGCGCCGATACTGATCATGAGAGATGAGGTATTAGCACGGCGCCAATCTGTTGGCTTCCGAAACATACACAGAATATGATATTCCAATATAGCGCATCTAGAACATTTGGAGTCAGCACAACCGCCAATCACGCCATAGTATAACAGGAGATACGAACAACCAAATACAACACAGTCATGAAAGACCAGCGTTGCCTCTGTCGCGAATTCATTGTTTTTCTTCTGATATGGGACTCTGTGACTCACTCAGATCAGTTCAATCTATAACACCATTCTTAGCGAGTTTGCCGCCACGACGATAACATCGACCTACCTCTTGTCCGAGTGATAGTACTGGAAATATCATGAGAACGCCAGCGGTTTTCGAACACTATCCTGCTCACCCCAATCGTATATCACCACGACGCCGGCGGCAACTGTGAGACCGCAAGTCAATGTTAGATCGAGACATCACCAAACTGACGACGAGCCCAACCAATAGCTGAAAACAACATTCGCGCTGATCATTGGCGACCAACTGAGATCATTTGAAGTTATGGTCATGTTGGAGGGATATGTGAGCGAGGGGGAAATGTTGGGGTGTAGAGTAACGATAGCGTTCATGCCAGATATACCACCGTCCAGCGCTTCTATTGCCAAAATCGGTATGGAGATGGATATTTGATCCCCCTTCAAGACCCTTGATTGGGTGAAGTAAGTATTGCGGTGCGAAATCAAGCAAAGGTGGAAACCCTCGATTGAATCAAAGTAAATTTTGAATTACGAACCAGTACTTGTCATACACGCGGAATGTTTGAACGGTGTTTCGTGAAGTCGGCGGCTTGTTTACCGAACGCCACTTTCGAGGTGTTCTTGCAGCACTTGCATCAATGAGTAGTTCCATATGAAATCATGTAGTGATCGATCTAACACAGGTCTAAGCATCATCAACAAGCGTTTGCACTCTCTTTGCCTTGGTAACCGAGCCTGAGGCATAACCGGGCGGCCCACCGATGACTCTTAACAAGTTCTCATTCTGTAGCATTGCACCAGAGAAATCAGACAAAAAACACAAAATGAGCCGAGGCGGAGCAAATATGACTAACCTTACTATCTGTTGCCTTGTACGTCCCAGTCATTAAAGGCTGTGGTAGTGTATCGTGAGCTGTCAGATACATCCTGGTTCACGATCCGTAATTAACAGGGGCATTAGGAAAATGCTGCGCCACTGCTGCGGCGGTATTTTCTAAACTCTAGTAAATATAACTTGCTTGTTGCTGGCGATATAGGCACTGGACTCTGCATGATCAGTGCCTTTCAATCTTCCAACAGCGCTGGAGTAGGGCACCTCCTAGCAAGGGGTCAGCAGGGCAGAGGGTCAGCAGGGCAAGTACTAGAGACCAATAGAGGCCGAGAGCAAGGGCTGGGTTAGCTTAGTCAGCACTTAGGTCTTAGAGAGGCGCAGGTCGTACTAGCTGGAGTTGCCACTCCAGCGTCTGATTGAGAAGTCAACTTAGTCGGGCTCTGCAGGAAACTATCAGTGGAACCTGGATGCTGGTAACCATCAACATGGTTGGGACCCATATACAGGGCTTCCATCCCACTGGAACCATGAGGATCGCAATGAAAGAGATCCCGATTATGAGCTTGAGGTGCTATGCTTTCTGGCTTTCGAAACGGTCTTACTTAATAATCACCTCAGCACGGACCAGATTCTAGTGATAGCGACACTGTCAAGCAGAACACGTCAGGACCTCGGAAGCGAAGAAAGATAACACCAACCGCGTCTTCAGATAATGCCCGCAACTGCGCAGTCACTCGTTCGGAAGAAAGAAAATAACATTAATATTGTATGCGGAGGAATCAGACTACAATCTAATATGAAAAATAGTTTAGCGACAAAGAAGACAGTCGTTGAAACAATATAGGCTAGATGACTTGCACACCGGGAGTACTGATGTGAATCTTGATGATACCGCCTGACCGTGACTTTGTAGCGTGGATATAAACATAATGGATCCCAGGCGCACGCTCGACTCCATGGCTCATTTGGAGGACAAGCACTGCAGGGGAGGTGCCAGGTACCAGTAGTAAGTGTTGTTGATCAGTTTGGGAGGCACTGCGGAAGTGGTCGCAGCAGTGGCGCACGATGCACTGTTGGATATATGGCGTCATCCACAAGTTAACAATGAAAGAGAAATCGCACATGGGATAAAGGACCTGCACGATCAACGGCAACAGGCAGGAAGCTCGATACCCGATCGTACAGGCTCGTGTCGATGGCGATTGTATTTCAGTGATCTTTTGAGGTTTCTTTACTTGAACTGGTAAAGGTTGTGAGTTACTGAGTGAGATCCGTCAAATGGACAACAAATTCGTTTTCGGATTTTTCATCATGCTCAGCAATTTCATAGGCAGGAGACGAAAATCGCACCGCTACTAGTTTGACCGGTTCGTATGGCCAAGCCAAAGTCCGACGAGAAACATCTATTCATAGCGCTACGCGTTGTTTGCAGTCTTCCCTAGTCTCCTCTAGACAGCCTTTTATAGACGAAGGAAGAGTCTCAGTCGTTCCAGTATCCCCCTTCTAGAATGCATGTCGGCGAATCGAAAAAGGATTGCTGATTCAATGTGGGAATCGAGGACACGGAATTTATGCACCTGGTGGGTACATTGCCAGAAAGATGGTCGAGGTAGGTCGTAGAGGTGTTGATTCTCCCCTACATAGTTAGACCTATCAACTCGAGCGGAAGGAAGATAGTTGAACTGACTAAACTTCTTTCGTATACTACGGGACCGGTAACCCCCGGGCCCCGAGTACTACTGTCTTGCAAGTTGCAACTGAAATTTTGCTGAAATCTTTCATCAAACTTCCGTTCAAGCTTTTGAGTCGTGTCGCCGAGAATTCACTCGAGGTGCGAATCAGTAAAGATACTAAAGATCCTCCGTTTCCCTGAGTTGGACTTCGTACGCCACGTGGAAGATACTCCAAAGTTGAATACCCCCCTACAACCTGCTTCTTATTCAACCTGGATGTTGCTGCGACCCACCTCCATAAAAGACCCGCCCTCGACATAGTCGCTCTCCATTTCATTCTCACCCGAATTCACTGAGCACTCGTTCCACAAATCGTCTCTTTTCCCTGTTGATCATCTCCATTGTGCACAGATACATAACGCTACCCGTCCACGTTCACATCTTCTAATTCATCCCCACCCTCCATCTTCTAGTTGTTTCTAAACACGATTATCATCCCTCACCACCAAATCCAGAATCAAACCGCCGCTCTCTAATCCTGGCCACCGGTCTCTACCATCATCGCAATACTAGTACTTCTTACCGACCATGCAGTAGATTCAAATCTGTTCATATGCACCATGTAAGTATTACATATGTACCTTTTGCCAGCACACTGGCATAACTCTAGTTCATAACTCAATTTCACTCGTAGATGCGCATTTCTGAACGGACTTGTAATACGACTTCTTGCGATAAACGCCCGTACATAAAATACCCATGCTGATCTGCGCGCTCCAATGGGGGAGCCTGCATCCGGCGCACGCATTGGAGACGGCTTTTTTAGAATTTTTTGCTAACTGTAAGTGATTTGTGTCTTGCTCCACTACTCTGAGTTAATGCCATACTCTAGGAACTGTACATTGACGATACGGCCTGCGAGCACCGCTCATGCGCCTGCATGTGGCACCGTCTTCGAAGTTCTAGCCGGCTCTGACCTCGTAAGTACGTACTTACATACTCTCGGACCCTCAATACTTTCTTCGACTTATCTCGTACCTGCTCCCTTCCATGACCATCGGACGAACCGCCGTTTGTGTTACATATAGCACCGCCGTACGCGTTTATCATTCACGTGTACCCGAGTCCTGGCGTTCCTCCTTCCCTTGTCTTCGCACTCGCTCGAGTATTGATCTGCATCAAGTCTTACTGCAGCCCACCAATGGATCAAACCATGTATTTCGACGTTCAAGGTAGGCATTTGAATTCTCATTTACGATATGTACTGATGCTCTGCGACCTACATACTTTTCCATCCATACAGTTAGCCCAGATAGAAAATCAAACATCGAGTTACCGCTGCACGGTCATCTATGGGTTTCCACATTGTTCCCATTGTTAACCATTCGCTTGAGTCTGGTTCAGATCGCGGGTAGCACATGTTTTCCATGGAAAGCTGGTTGCCATCTGGACTTACACGAATCACTTTCACTCTCACTTCTCCTCTTTCCTTCGTTGTGCTCAGACAGATGATCGTTTGAGCGAGATTCCTTTAACGTGATATCATTGAGGTATCAGCTGTCTGAGCTCAGACACGCTATCCCTACTTCTACCTTCCAGTCCTCTTGCTCTCCGTCTGTTTGTTCAAGATGACTGATAGCACCATGAACTGCGACATAGTCATGGTACTGTCAGCCTTCTGGGCTTTTCCAATCACTGCCGCTTCTTCTTCCTTCCTTTCTTCAATCTAGGCAAGCTTCCTTGCTACATGGGATTTTTCCTCTATCAGCTGTCTGAGCTCAGATACGCTCAAGCTTTACTAGTCCCTCCCCTCGCTCTTTGTTCGTTCTTCAAGATAGGGGACAGCATCGTGAAGCTGCAAGCTGTTCGGCAAATGGTATCAGTCACCAGGACATTTACGAATCATAATCTCTTTGTGCGAATGTGGTCGCCGTACAATCACGTGGGATTCCTGCTCTATCAGCTGTCTGGGCTCAGATACGTTACTCCGAGGTCGCCCCGATCGATGCCAATGTTAATGGGTGTATGTATGTCACAATCTCGTTCGACGATTGACGCTGATGGATGTGCTAGTTTGCTATGGGCTTCAAATAGATCACAAGTACAGACCCGACGCACGATTCTACGATCACTGTAGCTTCATTCTTTGCACTCAGACAGATGATAATAAGGTGAGTCTGTTTCGCACGGATTTCTCTTGTTATCAGCTGTCTGCTATTAGGCATACTACTCTCAAACATGGGCCAGCAGACAATCACTCGAGAGGATGCATAGACTTTCGGGTGATCATCTGCTGATCCCGGAGCGACTTGGATCGAAAGAATTGGTGGACATGTATGTCAGCGTCTCATTCGGCGCTCTCCTCTGACGATCATGCTTGGTTCAACAGATCATTGCAAGGACCCTAATACAAATCCGACGCACGATTTGCAGTCGTATGGTAGGCTCTTGACCGGTCTGACTTACGCTACTATGGATGCTTGGTTACGAGTCTAGTCACATGGGTGAAACGCTACCGCAGTGCGACTCTGATCAAGTACGTATGTCAGAATACTGTAATCGGTGCCTTGCTGATACTTTGTCAGGTGCGCTTGGCGCCTTCTGACTTGAGCCCCAATTTTCACTTCTTACTTTGCTTTTCTACTCCTTGCTCAGCGCGCCTTATCTAGATGCCATACATATTCGTAATAGAGGTGCACGCTCGAGCCGTAAGTCTCTTTATTCAAAATGTGATACTCAAGATCGTTGAATTGTGCTTGCCATAGATTATTGTTGCCGACGACATGACCATCTGACAGTGATCAGCGCTCAGCGATGGATTAGTTCGTGCTAGTAATGCCCGCAACAAAAGCTAACACGCCCGATCGCAATAATCCTTACCAATAGCTGCCTAGGAAATCGACATCCTGCTTCCAAATCCGAGCAATATCTCATTATAGTGCGCACTGTTGCGGTATTCCCCATCTAGATTCCATGCCAGCATATCAGAAAAGATTGCATAGTGTATGCAAATTACGGCTCTCATGAAATTTAGGTGACTGTATTTCAGTTTTACAGTCGCCCAGATTTCAGGATGAGCTCGTCGATTGAATGTGGGAACCTAGTTCACGAACACTGAGGGCAGAACATCGCTGGCGTGTCTCTTCGGTGTTCTACTCTGACGGTCTTGCTAGCAGAATGGAATTCAACAGTCCATTTCAAAGGCCCTTACACAAGCCTGACGGACGCTTTGCAGCCGCATAGGTGACACACTACTCTGATCAGGGTATGTTATAATCTCGGAATACCGTAGTCGACACTCACTTAAATAGTCATGTTGGACGTTTTCCAGAGGTCACCACTACCAGGTCGTCGTTCTGAGCCAGGCAGTGTTTTGCCTGCATAAACTCAATGTCTCTGCCATCTCAATAGGTGGTCGTCGGGCATTTTAAAAGGTAAAATATGCAGTCGGTAAGGATGAAAATCGCCTAGGATATCGGCATTCTGCTTCCAGCCTTTGTCATCACTCTTTCCCCCCAGATGGACGATGGTGCCATCCCGTTTAGTGGTTGGTCTTTGTTGGCTGTGATTCCTGTCTTGACCTGCCTTTCCATGCAGTCTAGGAACTCATTAATCTGCATCTAGACTCGTTCCTAACCTAAAGGATGCTCAGCTCCAATTACCTAAACTGAAGCTAACACGCCCAATTGCAATAATCCTTACTAATACCAATAGGTATCCCGTACCTCTCTATCACCTCGCCGAAGCGCTGACTTGATGCCAGAACAAGAAAATGTACTGCTCTCGATATCCGCGAAGTCGCCCAACATGTATTTACGAACGTAGAGTGAACTTCACAGTCAAACACCGCACTGTGTAAGCATATTTCCTTGAATGTGAGCAGGATTAATGTTGTCGACAAACTGCAGCTTGACCCTCTCGCCACTAGCATGCGAGTAAGTACATACGACTCCTTCGGCTTCAAGATTTTGAGCAAATGTTATTGTCTAATCATTTTTCTTACTGGTTTGTTTGTTGTTCACCATAAAGCCTCCATTTGTTCTAATGATACTTGAAAAGTAGTAGCTTTGAGTTGGATCCAGTGTGCTTGCTAGTTTCCCTCTATTAGCCCTCGTCATCCCAATGTGAATGCTGATGGTAATGCAGCACTGGATCCACTTGAGCTCAATGAAGGTGAAGCAGCCTGGTCAACAAGCCAAAATTCCGCTAGAGGTACTCAGTGGGTAACACTGGAGCAGCTTGGATGAACGGGGATGCTGACAGGGTCCACAGGCGTCACTTGAGTGGTCGAGTACTTCTCTGAAGCCTTGGAAACAGCTATCTTCCAGCAATGGCATCGGGAGCCTTCCACCAGCCGGTACGATCTTCACAGCACTACTGAGATCAACTGCGTGAACCTCAGCATCGGGGAGGGATCTCGACTCATAGCTCGCCAAAAGCTCCTTTTTAACTTACATAAGTATCACGACAAAACATAAAAACAGATTGTCCCGCTCACCCACCCATCGCAAATCCATCATATCGAGCATCTCCTGCGCTACACACTACTGCTAGTTGACACATGGACGCGCTCCTGAAAAGCAAGTGAAGTCATGGCGGTTGCCGTATCAGAGTTGGCTGCGAGTCCAGCGTGATATTCTCGAACACCGAGGATGAGGCGTGGTCCCAGCACAAACATCTGCACGGTCTGGAATATCTGATCGAGACCAATATAAATCTGATATTTTAGGGAATGTTGGTCCTAAAGAAACGATAAATCATGGTCGGATGCAGAGGTCAGTGACAAATCGTCATACCGCTGAGAACGTCTGAGTCAAAAAACCGATATGGAAGCAAGGAATAGCAACAAAGCTAGCACATGCAGAGTGTAAGCGGAAAAAGAGAACCGCATTCAAATTATGAGCTCACCTCGCAAAGTAAATAATGTGAGTTTTCATTAACACTGTGAAACAGTCTCCGATAATACTTCTTGAGTGTTTGTCGCAGTTCATGGAAGTGTTTTACAGCAATCCAGACCGCGAGACACAGTACAAGGACCTCCCATACAGCGCCAAGTATCCAAGTTATGGAATCCAGAAATAGGAATTCTCCCGTGTAGTGAAACACGCACTGAAAGGTGCTGGAGAGAACGAATTCCTCTGGTACTTGCCAATGAGCCTGATGGACTTGAACATTTCATGCATAACCAAAGCTCACCCGCTGCAAACTGCATCGTCATTATTGCAGTCATCACTGCGTTGGCGATTCTGATGGTCAGGAAGATGACGATAAGAAATACCAGCACCTTTCTGGATCGCTGATACATAGCATGCAACCGAGCGATCATGATGACTTGCATGATGTTTCAGTCAATTCAATATCATCGAAATGTATAGCTCACCGCCAAGTATTGCATCTACAATGTCACTCATCCAATCATGTGCGTTGTACATGATGTGGCCTGACAAATCCAGCAACATTAGTTATCAGCTTCGGAGGATCACAGGCTCGAAACAAGCTCACAACTGTGGGAGTCATTGTGTTGAATTGACGAGTTGTTTGAGAATCTCACTCACCCCTGCATGGTAGTTCAGTTGTTTGGACGGGAATGGACAGCATTGGTGTAGAATGCTCACTGCATCTGTTTTCGAAATTGTTGGAACATTGACTGTATGCCGCTCGTTACAAGAAACAAACAGAGTCTACGCGAGGAGACATACTCAAAATATTTATCCTGATTTGAGGATGGGTAATGAGCGCAACATCAATGGCTTAAACTTCTAAACGTACACAACATATCCCATTCCAGCATAGCGCACCTAGGATGTTCTGAAGTCAGCAAAACTTGTACTTGCTAAGCATAATATTGAAGCACATGGTACATACACTGAGATAGAGAAAGGTCATCAGGGACCACCGTTGCCTCTGCCGTGAACAAGTTGTATTTTCACGTCGTTCTTGTGATGTGGGAGTCCGCTCACCCAGATCAGTTCGACCTGCAACACAATTCTAAGCGAGTGGGCTGCCCCAGTACTGGATCGACCTACCTCTTGTCCGAGTGTAAGTGCTGGAAATGTTAAAGGAAATCAACCGCGGTTCTTCCAAACTCAGTTTTATTCACCCCAATTGTACATTAACCCAACAGAGGCAGCAACTGTGCAACCGCAGTCAACGTTAGATCGACATCACCGTCATCATGCGGCTGACTCTGAACGAACCAATAAAATAGCTGCGAATAAGGTTCGCATTGATGAGTGGCCACCAACTGGGATCATTCGAGACTAGAGTCATGCTATTAGAGAATGAGAGTGAGCGAGCAACGGAACCTGGCGGACGTATAATGATCGGCATCAACGTGCTTGATATACCACCATCCAGCGCTTACATTAACATGCTAGTGCAATTACATTGAGATGTTCTTGGCATTGCTGGGTTCAGCCTCGGCGGCGCACCAATCATTGATTTAACACAGGTTTGAACGACGCTAAAGTGAGCATCGTGGCAGACATTTTCTCACCTTGAGGTCAACAGTACTAGGGGAGTTCACAGTTGCATTGGCAAGGCGTTTGTCGCCCGTTGTTCAGAAAAGTTTCGAGGTCTGAAAAACACTGAAAAACGTTGGTTGACTGTGACAACCCCGTTGTTCGCGCGCTGGTCAGCAAATTTGTCGGACTCGCATCGCTTGAAAGGGTTGCGTCGGCAAACAAACATTATATAATCGATTGAGTTGTGATTTGTGCCACTTCACCATGCCTCGCACACCACGAGGACAAGCTATTCAGGCCGTATAATACGGTATATGATTTGGACCAGGGGGTCCCAAGGCATAGACTAGAGTTTTGCTGAAATCAAACTTCCGTTCAAGCTTTCGAGTCGTGTTGCCGAGAATTCACTCGAGGTGCGAATCAGTAAAGATCCTCCGTTGCCCTGGTTGGACTTCGTACACCACGTGGAAGATACTCCAAAGTCGAACACCCTGCTTCTTATTCAACCTGTATGTTGCCACGGCCGCCCACCTCCATAAAAGACCCACCGTCGATACAGTCGGTTCAACATATCATTGTAAGGACCCTAATACAAATTCGACGCACGATTTGCAGTCGTATGGTAGGCTCTTGACCAGTCTGACTCACGCTACCATGGATGCTTGGTTATGAGTCTAGTCGCATGAGTGGGACACTACCACAGTGCGACTCTGATCAAGTACGCATATCAGAATACTGTGGCCGACGCCTTGCTGATACTTTTGTCAGGTGCGCTTGGCGCCTTCTGACTCGAGCCCAATTTTCACTTCTTACTTTACTTTTCTACTCCTTGCTCAGCGCGTCTTATCTAGATGCCATATACATTCGTAATAGAGGTGCACGCTCGAGCCGTAAGTCTTTTTATTCAAAATGTGATACTCAAGATCGTTGAATTGTGCTTGACATAGATTATTGTTGTCGACGACATGACCATCTGACGGCGATCAGTGATGGGTTAGTTCGTGCCAGTGATATCCGCAACAAAAGCTAACACGCCCGATTGCAATAATCCTTACCAATAGTTGCCTAGGAAATCGACATCCTGCTTCCAAATCCGAGCAATATCTCATTATAGTGCGCACTGTTGCGGTATTCCCCATCTAGATTTCATGCCAGCGTATCAGAAAAGATTGCATAGTGTATGCAAATTACGACTCCCATGAAGTTTAGGAGGCCTCAGTGTCTCACTGCTCAGTCACCTAAACTTCATGATGAGCTCGTCAATTCAACTTATCTCATACCTGCCCCGTTCCATGGCCATCGGACGAATCGCCGTTTGTATTATATATAGTACTGTCATTCCCGTTTACCATTCACGTATCCCCGAGTCATGGTGTTCCTCCTTCTCTTGTCTTCGAGCTCGCTCGATTATTGATCCGCATCGAGTCTTACTCCCACCCGAGAACGATCGGCCCACCAATCGATCAAACCATGTATTTCGACGTTCAAGGCAGGCATTTGAATTCTCATTTACGATATGTACTGATTTTCTGCGACCTACATATCTTTCCATCCATACAGTTAGCCCAGATAGAAAATCAAACATCGAGTTACCGCTGCACGGTCATCTATGGGTTTCCACAAATCGCTTCCCTCGTATTCCATCCGTTATTCCCATGGTTAACCATTCGCCTGAGTCTGGTTCAAATGGCGGGGTAGCACATGTTTTCCGTGGAAAGCTGGTTGCGTTATCAGCCATCTTGACTTACACGAATCACTCTCACTCCCATCTAGATTCCATGCCAGCGTATCAGAAAAGATTGCATAGTGTATGCAAAGTACGGCTCTCATGAAATATGGGTGACTATATATCAGTTTTACAGTCGCCCAGATTTCATGATGAGCTCGCCAATTGAATGTGGGAACCTAGTTCACGAACACTGAAGGCAGACCATCGCTGGTAGTGTCTCTTCGGTGTTCTACTCTGACGGTCTTGCTAGCCGGATGGAATTCAACAGTTCATTGCAAAGGCCCTTACACAGGCCTCACGGACGCTTTGCAGTCGCATGGATGGCACGCTACTCTGATCAGCGTATGTTATAATCTCGGAATACCGTAGTCGACGCTCACTTAAATAGTCATGTTGGACGTTTTCCAGAGGTCACCACTACCAGGTCGTCGTTCTGAGCCAGGCAATGCTTTGCCTGCATAAAACTCAATGTCTCTGCCATCTCAATAGGTGGTCGTCGGGCGTTTTGAGAGGTGAGATATGCAGTCGGTAAGGATGAAAATCGCCCAGGATATCGGCATTCTGCCTTCAGCCTTTGTCATCACTCTTTTCCCCCAGATGGACGATGGTGCCATCCCATTTAGTGGTTGCTCTTTGTTGGCTGTGATTCCTGTCTTGATCTGCCCTTCCATGCACTCCAGGAGCTAATTAATCCGCATCTAGACTTGTTCCTGACCTAAAGTATGCTCAGCTTCACTTGCCAAATCCAGGCTTTGCACCAGAGTGGCTACGAAAGGCGCAGGTCAGGCCGGTACAAGGGAGAGAAACGGAGGTCGGAATCCGAGGAACGGCGCTTGATCTTGCTAGTGGTCAAATCGAAGCCTTGGAGAAATCCTAAACTTGAAGCGCTACTAGTACTGAGCACTCCTGGCATCCATGCACCCCGACCGCGTAGCAAGGTCCGTTTCTTCCTGTGGCTCCGGACGAATAGGAATTGAGGTATTTGTTGTGATACATACATAACTTACTCAATCAAATGAATATCTGCAGCGTCTCTTTGAAAATAAGGGTGATGTCATCGTGTGGGGTCATGAATATTGCAAACGCGGTGCCAGTGTATGGTCGCTGGTGATGAACATATTGCATAAAGTACACTAATAAAGTTACAAAGTTGATGGTATCAAGTTACAAATGAGTCAGACTTCCACATAGTTAATATTCAATGAAGCATGATGCAAGGTGACATATTTTGTCGGGCAGCTCAAGGAAAGCTTTTTGATGAACGTTTCTTCTTTCCATATATCACTTCACTTCATGGTCTGACTCTGCAGCAACGTCAACTTAGTCCTGCGTTGCTCATATATATATATGTGATACTTACTCGAAGGTAAATTCGGGCATTCGCAGCACAGTGTACGGGCACGGGCAATGTATTCGACCGTCGTTCGACCTCCGGTTTTAGGTTTTGGACAGGAAGCGTCGAGGCGGGTTCTCCATACTATAGTTCTGTAAGACACCGAACGACAGCAGCTGCTACCACAAGCACTTACGCGATCGAATTTGTGCATATCGAATTTACTCATAATAGGAATGGTTCCTCGACGCTTGGCATCGGTATCAGCAGCAACGTGCTTTTGAGAGGATGAGCCAGAGCTGTAAGATGACTGCTTGGAGCTCTTCTACAATCACGTTCGACGTCATCAGGTGCTGATTGCTCTGCTAAGCGATGCCCACTTACAGCACTAGCACACTTGCGTGCTTGAGTCCCGAAGGTTGACATGGAGAGATAGGTCGATTGAAATTGGCTACGAGTTCAGAATGTAAAGGAAGAAGATGGAGCCAGGTGACCCAGATATCCGGTGTGTCTGTCTTTTGAGAGCTCGCGCCGTGGGTTGAGTTGGCGTTACTTGCAGATATGAGTAGTATATATACCTGCAGCACCGTGCCGTCCCTTGTCGTGCATTTACCCGGCTATGACAGCTTGCCATGACGGTTGGCGCTCTACCAACACGATTGTCAAAAGAACCAAGGCGGCGGTGATAGAACCTACTAACAATGTGGTATAAATGAGATTGACGCCCTGTGATAGAAGCCCAAAGCCCTGCAGGCTGCCACAATAGGACAAGGAAAAAACGTGGTGTTGGGATATCTAGCTATTTCGAGTTCAGGATCAATATAGACAGATAAGAACACCGGCATCAAGACTTGGCCGCTACACCAACGCCAAAAGCTCGGATAGTTGTCTGACAAGAATGTCAGAGACTAGTTGGGCAGCGACTCACATAGATTTCTAAGTCCTGGATGAACCAGACATGTCCAAGTCCGACATGAGTTACTTGGACTTTTGATCAGATGTGCCACTGAGTTTATCACTCACCTACATAGTAGGTCATACGTCAGGAGAAGAACTTGCATAGCAACGATTTAACCTACTGGTGATCGGAATAAGACGACCAATTGTGCCTGCGGACTGCAGTGCCCGAGGAAAGTTTTTTCGAATTCAGACTGTGAACCATTGACATAATATATACATATCAGACAAGTCACCTGCCCCGCCACATTTTAATCTTACCCAACTACAGCCGCGGCACCACACCAATGTGTTCGCCTGGGACCAGGAGGCGCCGCTTCGCAAGACTCATCGGTAGTTGTAATTGTGTAGCAGCTGCGGGTAGTACTTTCCGCTTAGCTCGGCTTCATGTTATCCAGATGTTGAATTCAGGGATACATTCACATCGAGACATCACGGTAAGTGGCACGATGCACACGAATGGTCGAATTGAAGTTCCTTCACCCGATTCAAATCGTTCTGCAAAGTAAAGATTATTGCCTTTCCAGTGCTTCTGACTAGGGCTCATTACATTGTTACAATTCTGACGGTCTCGGGTGCCACTGTCTTCCGCGACAATCGAGGAAACAGCTTGTTTCCCAGATGGTCCTTATCCTTCGGAAACAACTTCTTGATATCTCCTGCGTGCCACCAGAACTCCAGAAACAGAATATGAAATACCCCAAAGTAATCGCCGTATCTCATGAACATTATCAACAGGCGCTCGTACTGAGTCGTGCCTGCGAAGCAATGTATCTAAAGGCGACATATTGGTTAAGATGCTCGGGAAACACTGTTTCCGATCTCCCCGGAGTCAGGGACAGCCACCAAGCGCTTTTCAATCCCCCTCTACACCCCATAAGTATTTCAATCTGCCATAGAGCGCAACACCTGGATTAGGAAGCACGCGGAGCCCCGTCGCCCATGATTTGCCCGTTGCGCCCATGCACTCCCGGGATCCCTCTGACGGACTTCAGTATTTGCCGGCTCCGGGATTGTCATGTTACTCAAAAAACCCCGTCTTCTCACTATAATCAGCTCTTCTAACTAACGCTCAGACGCGAAAGGCGTAGCGATGATCAGTGATACATTCCCAATGCTACGCATTGAATCGGTTGCTTGTGACAACCCCAATCGCATGTTCTCGATAATTCATACATATAAACATTATGAAATCGCCATTGACGAATTCGTCAATGGATGAGACATACATTCACGATGACTGTCCTACATACGAACTGTATGGTAAAGCGGTCGAGGTCGCAAACATGAAATACAGCATCAAATAGCAGTGGGTCATGAATGCAGAAACTAAACAAAGTGGAAAGTGGAAACACCCGCAGCACAAGTGTATCGGCATCATACCATGGATAAAGACCAGCTCCTAAGAGACCTGCCTCATCGACATAGTACGTCCTTCGAAGCACGAGCAGCATGCAGAAACATAACAAAGTGGAAGGCATCGGATACAACATAAGAGTATCAATCGCCATGACTCGAATGGCGATCAGTAAAGACCAGCTCCTAGTATTAGGAGACCTGCCTCATTGACGTATGCGCTTCCAAACATGACAGAAACGAAAAACAGGACGAAATAGAGGGCATTGGATCCAGCAAACCGTATGGGTACACTATGGCTCAAATGGCGAAGAGTTGAAGATCAGCTCCTAGTAATGGGAGGCCTGCCTCATTGACATACACGCTTCATGCACAGCGGCACAGCCAAAGCGCACGGACGATATTCGAGAACTCTGCACTGCTCTGACCCTAGGAAATACCGTACTAGAGGTGACGTCTCAATGAAATATGTTTCTTTTATCAACCCATAACACTCACCCGTTCGAAGATCCGGGCCCGGTAAGCACCCTGGCCAGCAAATTTATCAGATACAGGAGGATCCGCAGCTACGCGGGGCACAATAGTACTCGAGTCACCCCCCTGAGAGTGAATGAACTGGTGAGCGTGAGCTCTTGCCAGCACAGGAGGATGGAAGGTTTGCGAGACAGGGTCCTCCATATGCTTTGGCGGAGGACTGTCGTGGTGACGAGACTTCTTGTTCTGTCCACCTGCAGACTACACCAGACGTTAAAACATAACAAATATAGGTACATGGGGAGACGTACGCGAGCGGCCAGGTGTGCTTTGTACGCAAATGCACTCATGATAGTAGGAAAGGGATGGATTGTGAACAGCTATTGTTTGGCCGTTATTTTGACTTTATAGGGACAGGAAGGCGAAGAGTGCCGTAGAAGTGAGTGGAACGGCCTCTCTCGTTGAGAGCCTGAGAGACACCTAGTGACATGGTGGACCATATTATATGGATAGCTGGCGCCTAACGGAAAAGACTCCGCTGACAGCCTCGCGCACTGCCTCGGGCCCTATGAGGAATTCCCTGGAAGTCCAATCTCAGGTGACTCAGCGCAAATATTCCTGTGCTTTACTATACTAGCGCTCTCGACCCTTGCTAGAAAAGTTCCTTGGAAAATGACATCAGCTGTGTTTCGCAGACTCGGCATTTGATAAAGAGCGATATTAAACGATACAAAGTGTGGTATCGCGTTCTGTAGGACAGACTCCGCCGTCACGAATACACAGGCTCAGCACAATGATAGAAAGAGGCCGTCTTTCTTCGTTTTGGTCTGCCCAAAAAGACTTGATACACAGGCTTGCTGTTGCGTGCGCTAGTCACCACAAAAATAACCCTCCCATTGCGTCACGATTCAGTCCGAGTATCAAGACGTATGACATAGGTGGCTGCCACTGGAGGCCAATGGCGGGTGATGGATTAGGCAATGCCTCCTGGAGGTGCGGATCACCTGGCATATTCCACACAAGACGAGTTGCAATTGGTTCCAGCTACAGCAAGTAATATGTCAAGATTCCGTAGTTGAACCGCAAGTGTTCGATCGTCCAGAATGTACGGCCACTTGAACGTTGTATCATGCGTGGCTCATCAAGAGAAGCGCGTCGTGAGCGGGATGAAGTGGCTTAAGGTCCGTAAGCTGATGTAGGTGAGGTGGAAGCGGGAGGCTGGACTCGATCAATGTGGCTGAAACCAGTGACAACCACCCTTATCAGGGTCGTTCGAGCGCTTCGAATCTCCAGACATAGCCACGCTGAAGCTCGACAGCAAGCCTCTTCAGGTCTCAACTGTTGATATCACTGTTGTTGGTCTCGACGTTCTTGGGGTCCATCCAGAATAATTGAGCGTCCTTCAGCACAAAAAGCTGAGTGGTCCAGGAACGAGTATTGAACGCTTCGTCAAGGAGCCTGTGTGAAAGGGCAGGAGATGCATTTTGGACGTCGTTACAAGAAGGCCGCTGCAAGACTCATCATGATGGACTTACGAGTACCTTTGTCAACAAAGGTCGTTTGTGTTTCTTTAAACATGGAAAGCTCCCGAGCAACTCGCGAGCAATCTCATATATTGGTTGCCCTGCCAGCCGCGTGGAGGCTTATAATAGAAATCTAATCAGATTGCCGAATAATAGTTCGGTTCGATACCGACTAAGGATGCACGTACGTACCGAAGTAAGTAGGAAGATTAGTATTAACGCGATCTTTCCATTGTAAAATTATTTATTAGATCCACTATACGTGCGCTGGGGCCCAGTCATTCGCCGCCTCGTTGCTTTGCCACGACTTCCTCCATTACTCAGTAGTCACTCCTTGTTCTCGTCGCCCACTACTGTCTCTGATATTCTTTTCCAATACGACCTCCATGCTATTATTCCACCCTTTAGCTTTTTTTCTTGTCATCTTGTCATCCCTTGTCAATGCTAGTGTAACAGTGTACTACCAAGTTCCATTTGCAGATTCAACTGCCACTACCAGTGCAGCTTCTGCCAATTATACCGGCGCTGCAGCTTATGATCCTACTGTACTAACACCTCCGCCCGTCCCTGCAGGGCTCACAACACAATTCGGAATCCAACTTTCCAGTTCGTCGGCAGCCGTGCAGGGTCTGAGTATACCCCAGAAAGGGTCGTTCATGGGGTTTTCTATCGAATTCACCGTCGTCAACCAGATTTGTAAGTTCAATCATGTCCTATCTAGTAATTATATCTACTAATCACAAATATTTGTAGTCGGTTGTAAATGCGTAAGTCCTGTTGAGGCTACTAACATCGTATACATGAACTTACATGTCATAGCACATATTTACAGGTTCCCTTTTTAAACCTCATGGCTCTCCTTCGTGAACGGGCAGGCGAAGTGCACATTCGTGTCGGAGGCAATACCCAAGAGACTGCAGTCCTCGTCGATAGTCTTCCTGGAGGTGTAATGGTAGCCAAAGAACGTGGTACTACGGATGATGTGGTATGTGCAATGTGCATGATCATTGTTGGTGATATCACATTCAATTACTTCCTTCTGAATGCTTCAGACTGCTACCCCAACACTTCTTTACACGGCTGAGGTTTTCTACACAATGGCGAACATCTCGGCCCTTGTAAATACGAAATGGTTCCTTGGTAAGGTTAATCTAAATTATTCCATGCCGTCAATGACACTGCCGTAGGGATACCGTTTAATGACACAAGTAACCTCCGACTCGGCATTGCGGAAGTTGGCGAGGCTGTGTTGAGCGGCCCTGGATATTTGCTCGGGTTTCAAGTTGGAAATGAGGTATGTCCTCTCCGTATCTCGAACCAACCATTACTCATCACCGCAGCCCGATCTTTATGCAGCGTTCGTGGCCGTATTTTGTTCTTTACTCTAAAATACCGACAGTTTCATCAGACACGGGGTCCGACCTTCCACGTATGCACCCTCTGACTACTTCAACGATTTTGGCATAGTAGCTACCGCCGTCAACAACGACGGCAGTATTCCTGTTAAAAACAACTTGGTTGCCCCATCTATCACAGGCCAATGGACTCCAGAATGTTCGGTTCTAGTTCTATTTTGCGCTTGATACTCAAAACTAATCCAATACTATCAGCCGTGTGGGACACCAGTCTCGTTCCAACCTACTCATCAAGCTTGGGAGCGCTAGCAGTTGAACAGTAAGCCCTATCTGTGATTTTCACGCGGTTTCTCAAGTTTCTCAAGTTACCCAACCGATAATTGCTACGCATTGTACGGCATCGGTTCTCCTGTCGTCCCACAAGACGTGTTTCAGAATTTCCTCAACCACACCTCTGGCATCAATATCATCGCTCCCTATCTCAACTCCACCAGCTATGCGCAATCCAGTGGGCTGCCCATGATTATGATGGAGACAAACTCAGCATCCTGTGGTGGCTTACCAGGGATTAGTGATACCTTTGGCGCGACTCTATGGGCACTCGATTATGGCCTTCAGATGGCTTATAGCAACTTCTCGGGCGCAATGATGCACGTTGGTGGACAAGATGTGTACTACAATGTGAGTTGCGTGTTCTGAACCCTTTGAGGTGTCACTGAGTCACGCACCCTGTCCAGCCTTTCACTCGTGAGCCCTCCCCAGTTGAAAGCAGCTGAGAGAAGGCCATACTTACATTCTTTGTAGCACCTCCTACGAACCAGTCATCATACCACCAATGGACGGTTGGCTCTGTATTCTACAGCACAATTGTCGTCGCTGAAGCTTTCGGACCCTCTGGCAACGCACAAATTATCGATCTGCAAGCCAACACCGATAACATGTTTACCCCTGCCTACGCAATCTACGAAAATGGTGCCCCCGTGCGCCTTGTACTACTCAATTACGTATCAGATCCAAGCGGTGCGAGCGATTACACAACAACGATTTCCATAGGCGGCTCGGCAATTGGGCAGAGCAACGCCACGCCTGCACAAATACAAGTCAAGTACGTGTTCCATAGTAATGTAACTATAACTAAATAGTACTACTTGCTAAACTAATTCCTATCTTAGATATTTAGTGGCACCTTCTGTGTCGGAGAAGTACAACATTACGTGGGCAGGCCAGGTGAGTCCGGTCATCATTTTGTTTTTGGTTTACTCATTTCCGTTTCAGACCTTTGGCGGGACCTTCCAGTCTGATGGCCGCCTAACGGGCTCAGAAAGCGTGCAGACAATTAACTGCGACCAGTCGTCCAATACATGTCAAGTGACTGTCCCCGCCCTGGCGCCGCACTCGTCTTCCTCTCCTCCAACGCATATGCAGAGTCGGGGAACCCCTCGACCCAGACATTCTCTACCACGGCGGTCACGAAGACAGTGAACACAGCGAAGGTTGACCCGAGTGTGCTGGCAACCTCGAATGGGATGTCGGGAGCCACATGGGAGCTTGGGAGTACGAGTAAGGGGAACACTGGTGCTGGCCTGAGGAATTCACTTTCAGTTGTTTCTATTGTCGGTGCAGCTGTGCTGAGCACCGGCATGTTATGCACATGGTTCTGGTCATGATGTTCTTGCAAAATTGTTGGCACTATATATACCAGTAGCGCCACCATAGATGTCCGTCACGATGTTCATGTTACAATCAAAATTCTTGGAATTGTATATTACACATGATGACTCCAGGCTGTGGCACATGCAGCTGTTCATACGGACTGAGCAAATCGATTTGGATCTGGGGTAGCGAACTGAGGAAAATTGTCCCAGTTGAGATCCATCTTCACAGAGCAGGCTCAGCAGAGCTCACGGTCGTTGATGTTGTTCATGTTGTACTCATATGTATTGCCCGCCCCGTCGACGTCTGGGCTACTCAATGTATCATCTTCTCAAACTCCGAAAGCGAGCGTGATGCAAAGGCTGTTGCTGAATTTAGAGAATCCATTGTGTGTGCCTGAAATGGGTATTTTACAGTATTTGTAAGAGCCAGTTCGGTAACCCAAGGTAAGGTGAGTTTGCCACCTTGAAACGATTATATAATGTCGGCATGGTGGTCCCGGTTTGAAGCCCGATGACGGAGCTTGAACTTCCCTTTGACATGTCTGCATGCATACCTCGGTATACGACTAAAGATCTACGAGATCGGAACGACATCTGGGCTAGTGTCGTGTCTATAGTGTTATCTGCTCAAGTCCACATTCTTTCTATGGCTCAGCAATCATCTCATGCAGACAGGGCGGTCTGGACTGACACAGAGACTGATCAGCTTGTCCAATACCTGTACGACAATCGGGAGAAGGTCGCTGACACCGGTAACTTCAAAGATGTAACATACAATGGTGCTGCAGAGGCTATTGCTGCGCACCTGCAGCAGGGTCCACAGAAGACTGGAACAATGTGCAAGACGAAATGGGGAGCAGTAAGTCATATACCAATATATCGCTTAGATATAGACTGGTTAGATATTGTATAGTTAAAACAGATCTATAACGCTATTCAGAAGTATCGCCAGACGTCTGGTGTCCACTGGGATAATGTCAGAGGAGCCAATATCACGAGCGAGGGTGCAACCACGGTATGGAACGAATATATTACAAAGAAGGTATGTCCAGTTCACAGTGTCATCTACATTTTGTACTGGTAGCTTACTGTTTTATATCTAGGGAAATTCGCACATGCGCCCTTTTCGTGTATCGGGATGGAGATACTTTGAGCAAATGGATGATATCATACCAAAAAACAGTGGCGCGCGAGGGCATACCGGGTACCAACCGCATACAGCTCCCCCTCCCTTAAGCTCAAGCTCCAGCGCTAGCATACCAGCAGCTGAAAATCATACCATGGGCGCCACCATTGCTACTTCTAGTGTCAGTGCCGCTCCTGCTGGTCCCAGCGCCACCCCCTGCAGTAGTTGCCCCTACTTCTATTCCTACTTCTCGATGTCCTGCCTCTATTGACAGCAATAACACCCTTTCCACATCCTTAGTATCTCGACCTAGCTCCAAATGCTCTCACTCTAACATGGTTCAAGAGTCGACTACCTCACTTCCTTCTACCTCAGTTTCTATGCGAGACGAAGACCCTCAGATGCCGCTGCCTCCCTCTAAGCCAGGCTCTCTCAAAAGAGCAAAGACAACATCAGGCCGTGCACAGACTCGGAGCGGTGCCACTGGGGGTAGTGGTACAGCAGATGTCAAGATGTCGAAGACCACCACTGCTGTAGCTGTGATGGGGTTCCAGAGCTCCGTTAACCGCCTAACAGATGTGATTTCTGAGCGCATGGTCTATCCCGAGGATCGGGTGATGGACCAGCGCTCAAGGGCCATGCAGATGTTGCAGGTTGATGATGCTGACTTGCCATTCACGGAGCGGCTTATGATGCAACAAGTTTTTGCTATGGACCCTGCAGCTACTGACATATATACACAAACCACTGACAAGGAGATGCGCCATGCTTTCATTATCTCAACGGCCCAGCGGTTGGGAATCCAACCTATGATACTGCCTCCTGGGTCCAATTCTTAGCGGTACAATTGTCTTACTAGTTGCATGAATAAATGAATGAATTGTATGTGCTACTACATCTCGTTGTCGCTGTCATCAAAGGAATCATCTGACGAACCCCGCTGCTGCAAAATGCCTTGATAATCCTCCCACATGCAGCGCGCGATATGTTCACGCGCTTCCTTCATGCTTCCATCCTCTTCAAACTCCTCCTCGTCTTGAGGGATCCCTTGGTGCTCAGGGTTATCATAATCGAAGTGTTCATCGTCATCCGCGTACTCTCCTTCATCAGGTTTGTGGGCGCATATAAAGTTGTGAATCGCGCATAACGCGGCAGGTATACGTGCCTGGATGGTCATAGGATACTCAGGTGACAGTAAGAGAATGCGAAAACGGTGTTTTAACACGCCAAAGATGCGCTCGATCACATTTCGAGCAGATGCGTGTCGCAAATTGAATAACTCTTCTTTATTGACTGGTCTGCAAAAATAGAATAGATATTAGGAAGCTTCAAGTAAAAAGAAATAAAACATACCTGGTATTAGCACACCCCCACTCAGCTAGATGATACCGGACACTGCGGTAGGGCACTAAGAGCTCGTGACACAAAGGGAACCCCGCATCTGCCAGAAAATACTTGCTGGGAGGGATATACAAGCCACCTGAACGAGCCTCATCATAAAGGCATGCATCTGTAACAGATCCCTCCCAGCCAGTGAGAGCATAAGAGAATGTGAGGTTGAAGTTGCAGGCGAAGAGACAATTTTGCGAAAGGAATCCTTTACAATTCCGATATGCAGGACGATCAAATGATGGGGGGTGAGCGTGGATGTGACTACCGTCAATCGCGCCAACAGTGTCCTTAAAATAGGGCCAGAGCTTAGGGTCATTACAGATCTTGTGTGGGGTGTGGTAGGTGTCGTCAGGAGAGCGTACATGATTGGTGTAGAATGGGGGAGATGCGAAAATGGTCAACATCTTGCGGAAATATCTACAATTAAGTGTGAGCTCGTTAGTATCATATATAACAATAACAATTGACTTACTTTGAGATGGTATCATTAGACTGTTGAAAGCGCTCACCAACATGGTGGACGGTCAGTCCCGTAACACACGTGTATAGGAAGATGGCGAGTTGTTCTTCGAGGGAAACATAGCGCGAATTTGCATGACCCAAGGTGTGAAGTTCCGCTATAAGCGAGTGAAATACATCTGTGTGCATCCCAAGTTCACAGCGCATACGCTCTGGGTGGCCCAAAATGAGCTCCATGACCCACCCTTGACCTGAGAGGGCCAATGTGTGATATGGCTTGGGTATAGAGTCTTCTAGCAAGGACTCTGTAGCAGTAAGAAGGACACTGACAACCAGTGCAATATGTTGGAGAATTCGTGCGTGATCTCGCTTGGATGCCCGACCGCCTGGCGGCTGAGCAGCCTGAGCCAGAGTCAGCTGTTGGATTAATGGGTTGATGGCATCCATCAATACAGTGAGCAATGGTCTGATAGATCATCGATAACGAGTCTAGTACTACTGATATTCAATTGAGACTCAGTCATCGGCATCTACAACGCCGACATTATATAATCGTTTCAAGGTGGCAAACTCACCTTACCTTGGGTTACCGAACTGGCTCTAAAGGAATTAGATATCGCCGCCATCGCGTACTGTCTGCAGTGAAATCAAAGGAATTGCGATAACTTCCCGAGAAAAGGCCCACCATGCGTTTTTTGAAGGTATTCAGTGTTCACGTACGTTGGTTTGTCGAGAAATCTCTCAATCGTCCCGCATTCCCAGTGAAAACTGGACATGGCCAAAACGCCCAGGATAGTGTGAAATATTGTTTTAGACATATAATTTATGCTATAATATTGTATAATCTTCAACGACACGATCGTCTGCGCATCGCATGGCAAAAACATTACATTGTTGTCGATTTGCGTTATTGTGTTGGTCACGTCGTCGAGCGTGTTTTCGTCAACACACACAATTTGTTCACGTCAATCTTACATCACTCCGTCCATGTCTCGATCACTACTTTGCATTCACACATCACACAGCTACTTACTCTGCAAAGCTCCACTCGAATTCTCGTGTGATCACAAAGTTTGGGTGAGTTTTGAAACTACCAACACCCCAAAGTTTAAAAATGTTTGGGGAATTTCGGCAAAGTCCATTTCCCTTTTCTTCTTACCACCATCTTCCCAACAGCTAGGAGTCCTGCCACTGCCTTCCTCCACTGATTCCACAAATATGCGGGTCTCGTGGATTCAGGTATACGTGTTGTTACTGCTTTTCTTAAATGGCACTAACTTATCGTCTCTGCAGGCTTATGATCCACTTAGCGCTAGCTGATAAGTTTCGGCTCTCGAACTCTTATTTTATGATCATTCATGTTTACTAGGAGCGGGAAGGGTGCTTATTGTCGACAGTAGCTCCGCCTCATGATTTCCCTCCATCCTGTTGTCTTCAGTATACTACTCACCTCCCTCACTCTTGTTCTATGCCTTTTTTGCTGCTGGATGCTCTCCCATCACGTTATCTTGCCGCTCCTCGCCTGTCTACATCATTCCTATTAATATTCTTTTGCCATTGCCTGCTGGTTGCTTCCCAATTGCTGTGCTTGCTTGTCTCACTCCTCGCCTGTCCACATCGCTCCTGTTCTTTTGCCGTTACCTGCTGGTTGCTGCCTGTGCTCGCTTGTCTCACTTCTCGCCCGTCCACATCGCTCCTGTTCTCTTGCTGCTGTCGAGTTTGCATGCTTCTCGCTGTCGTGCTGGTTCTATCATTATCATCCTGTATCGTATTTGCTGGTCGCAGGTCGAAGCGTTTGTATCAGTAGATTATAGCATAATTCACCCGAATGCAACCGATTTTGTCGTACCACACGAACTGAACTGAAATATGCTGAAATATGATAACAATATTCTTAGCATATCCTACGACATTCGAGAAGATTGCAACAGATGCGAAATATTCTATTTGTCTCCACAGCGAGTCTCCTATACTGAAATATTGTGCTTCTAAATTCGTCATATTCCGCTCGATCTCAACCGTTTTGGCCATGTCCAGTTTTCCCTGGGCCGCATTACCCTCACGTTGTATTCTGATCAGAGACATTGTGCTGTGTAGCAATTAGAACGTTCTGGATATGAACGTTGACAATATTAATAGATATTAATGTTGATGACAATGATGAGTAACGTTATATATGTACCCGTGGAGGGCCACGAATGGGGTAAATAGCTTGTGGAGCAGGTGAACGGAGAGCGATTGTACATATGGCGGGAAGTCTTCTGATGTGAAGGAAATAGTAGGTTGAATAAGAAGTAAAAGTGTTAGATTTCGGAGTATGATATCGTAGCGTACAGAGTTCAAACGTTCCGAATAATGCCTGTTCAATTGTTATCATTCGGTCTTACCGAGTCGGTTCCTTCGAACAACTTCAAAGTTCAAACCTCTTCAAACCCAGGACTAACCCAGACCCTGAGCGTCTGCACTTTCGTTGCCGTACTTCTTGTAGCCAGTTATTTATGGATGTACCAATACCCCATAACGCAATTCGCAACATCGAGCCAGTGCACAGTGATCTACGCAGCCTGATTTCCGGAGGAACAAAAATACCCGGTACGACGATGAATATTTTCGGTGCGGCCTTCCAGTAAAATGACGAGACAACAGACTATACTAGTACTGCTAGTATACTACTATCCTTCTATCTTGGCCTTGCGGCATTGAGGCCGAGTTCAGAGACTCGCGCATATGGTACCCTAAGAGAGCATATTCAAGTTGAAGTGCCAGCAGTCAGTCTCCCGCACTGTACACATTTCATAAACATTTACCTCATTATAGTGCCACCTCGTTCCCGGTGGATAATTCCTCTCTGCTGCGGCAGGCCACTGCATTGCAATTTGGCAAGGTGCTAACTTATCCGAGCACAAGGTTTAGGATACGTACAATGGGTGTACTACAGCTGTTCGAAGGAACCGAGTAGGGTCCGAATGATAACTGGGTACCCGAAACCGAATCAAAGTCTACTTTGATTCAGTAATCTAAGACTTCCACTATTGCTTGATTTCGCATCGCAATACTTACTTCAACCATGCCGATTTTGGCGACACAAGCGCTGAACAGTGGTATATCTAGCACGAACACTATGTCATTATGACCCCCAACATCCCCCACTCGCTCACATCCATCTCTCGAATATGACCGTAGTCTCAGATGACCCCAGTTGGTGGCCGTTCATCAGTTCGAATATGTTTTATAGCTATTGGATGGGTTCGTCGTATCAGTCGGTGATGTCTCGATCTAGCATTAACTTGCCGTTTCATAGTTGCAGGCGGCATCGTGGTCGTATACGATTGGGGTGAGCAGGACAGTGTTCGAAAACCGCTGAGAGTCTTATGATATTTCCAGTACTAACACTCGGACAAGAGGTAGGTCGATGTTATCGCCGGAGCAGCCAACTCGCTAAGAATGATGTCATAGATTGAACTGATCTGGGTGAGTGACAGTCCATATCAGAAGAAAAACAGGAGACGACATTGAATTTGGGGCAGAGGCAACGCTGGTCTCTGATGACTGTGCTGTATCTCGTTGTTCGTACCACATGTTATGCTATAGCGCGGTTGTGCTAACTGCAAAATGTTCTAGATACGCTATATTGGAATACTATATTTTGTGTATGTGTCGAGGCCAACAAATTGGCACTATGCTAATGACTCCTCTCTAACAATAATCAGTGCCAATGTTCTGCGTATGTCTCATATGCACTTCGTTCGATTCTTCTGACCGACGGCACACAGCAAATATGCAATCGGTCTCGCTGACAGATAAAGTGAGTATCCCGCAACCATCATTCCCGTCCAATGGATACACTCATATGTAGGGGTGAGTGAGATTCTGACTGTTGAGTTTGGCTCAATATAGTGACTCAATAGGTGTGAGTCAGAGCGTTTGATCCTAGTACGAGGTGATCACTGATTGGGTGTTTCAGGCAATATCACGAACTACGCAATAAATGGGACAACTGTGGTCGTAGCTGCCATGCTATGCGGTGAGCTGCAATACCTCAGTGATATTGACTGGACTGAAACATGATGCAAGGCATCATGATTGCTCGGCTATATGCCATGTATCAGAGATCTAGGATGATACTTATCTTCCTTGTTATTGTCTTCCTGGCGGTTAACATTGCCTGCGGAGTAATCACGGCAATAGGACTCAAGTATACTTTCGCGGGTAAGCTTTACTTGTTGACTTGAAGAACTCGGCTCATTGGATGAACTCCAGAGGAGCTGATACTCTCTGGAAAGTACATGTGCTATGATGGATTTGAGGGGGACGATCAGCTTCTGAACGCAATGGTTTGGATGCTTAACACTGTTTGGGAGGTCATCGCACTGTGTTTTTCAATCCGAATTGCTGTGAAACACTTTCGTGATCTGCGACGACTCGGCCCATCGACAGGATCGACTATCAGGGATTGTTTCAGAGTGCTGATAAAATCTCACATGCTTTATTTTGCAAGGTGAGCTTGTAATGTGAATGTGCTCACCTTTTTCTGCTCAAGTTCTGCATGTGCTAGCTTCATTTGTGTCTCTTGCCTCCAGCTTTGTGGTCTCTCTCCAGGGCTCAAGGTGCGCCGACCTGTCACTGACATCTATTTGTAACCACTGCTCATCATTTCTGTAGGAATCAAATTCTGTTGGGGCCCAGACACTCGCTGGTGCTCTTCAAATTTTATATGACGTGCAGATGTTTGTACTGGGACCACGCCTCATCCTTAGCGTTCGACAATATCACGCTAAGCTCGTAGCCGAATGCGACTCGGAAACTAGCATGATTTCGATTGTCTTCCAGGATCGTGTACATGTACCAACTAGCAGTATTGTGTAGGGAAATGCTTAGCGAGTGTTCTGCATGGAGGAGGTATTCGGTCGAGGAAGCCATCCGTCGTAGTATTTATTCTAGTTATGCTGTTTCAAAGTATGTTTAAGACGAGGTTTATGTAGACAAACCCATTTCTCATTGTTGCAATGAACACTCCCATCGTGATCATGATACAGCGACCGCTGACCAGACCTTAAGAGCGGCGATTCTGAATTTGGTGGTCAGAGAGGGCAATTGTTGTTCTGGATGCAGAAGTGAGTGCGGAACGAATCAATGCAGGGTGATCATGAGGAGGCCACTATGACCGACAATTTTAGGTATCGATAGGGACACGAGGTATATCGATCGCGGGAAGTCTTCTTTTATGGAGGGAAGGCTTGTATGTGAAGCTTGGGTGTTCAATTATGGCCGAATGGCGGACGAAGTCCATGAACGCACAACGAATCAGAAGAGTGGGATGATCGGATAGGCTAGATAAGGCTTCGATTAGACACAAAATCGAAGGGAGGGCAGGCAAGCGTACTTGTAGAAAGGATCTATCAAATGTATCAGGAATCAGACCCCCGATTTTGCTACCACTCCAAGTTTTTGCGACTGACTTCTATTTCGAATTACGCCATGCGACAGAGTTTAGTTTAGAACCTACATGATTGGTTCAAGATGTGCTTGAGAAGCGATTAAAGTGGCCAACGTAGTCTCTACTCATCGATGATGGTCCCTCTCCACGTTGTCTACCTTCGACGGCGCCTGTGAGTCGATCAAGCTCTTTCTGTTGAATGACAGAGGGTCGTGGATAAAAGTGGAACGGGCCAGACGCATGCCCACTCCCATATCATCCATCTGGGCAGCACGGAAGTAGTAAAGAATCGTGCACGAAGGGTGGAAGTAGGCACGATATCGCTGATCGATGTCTGTTCAAGCATGACGATTAAGAAAGAGCCTTACAGAGCTTGTGTCTGTCGCGAATGAGACAAGGAGATGAGAAGTGCTGAGAGCGCAGTAGAGAAGAGAACCGGAGTTTCGAGTCGGAAGGCATCAGGCGCACCTGGAAAAGTATCAGAAAGCCGCCGACCATAATATTCTGACATACGTACTTTGCTCAGATCGCACTGGCTCCATCATGTGCCTGAGCGAAGCAAAAAAAGAAGCGAGAGGGAGTCGTGAAACTCCAGATGGCTGATAATGCGTCAGATCAGCGAGAACTCCTGGCCACCTTAGTCAAAGCAGCCGTATATCTGAGCTCAGACAGCTGATAGCCCCAAGGATTTCACGATCATCAAATCAGTTCGAGATCTATCGTCTATGTGAGCATAATGAAGGAAGGAGAAGTGACCATGATGAGCAGAAGCCCAGATGGCTGATAACACGGTGGCTCTGGTTCATCGGACAACCACCGTGACATCTGCCATCTGGACTTGACTCAGGCGAACTGGGGAAATCATGTTTGTGAAAACGAATAAAGTGAGGGGAGTGACGGATGGTGTGCGAGGAACTAGAGAGAAGGAGTAACGTTGAATTAATGGCAATGATTCATGATGCCAGTGAGTGGAAGCCAAGATGGCTGATAAGGGAACGCGTCTGCTTCGTGGTCGTCACCATATTACCCATGTGGGCTGTCCGTATGAGTGGAGTTGGAGGTTCTGGGTTGTGGGAAGTCGCATAACCTAGCTGAAAGTTCACGGAAGATGCTAACCTTGTGTTGATGAGATAAAGCAGTCTTGCAAGAAGAAATGGCACGTGAACGCAAAGTGTGGCAGTGAAGACAACACTATAGGACCAAATATTGTTCCAAGTAAGCTTGTTTGGTGTGCAAATGGGCAGAGATCTAGAGTGGGCGCAACGCACGATGGCGATGGCGATCGTAATAATAAGTGAATATTTTTACAAGATGAGGGCGCGGGCGGTGTTGCTGTACACTCGACGTCACAAAAAAGACACTAGCTAGAGTCCAGGTGCAGATTGCTATCAGATTGGAAATTGGCTAACAG